CCGTCTGTGGGCATGGCTCCCCCTGCAGCTCTCAGTGGCTGTGGTTCACCATTCCCGGCCAATAGGAGCTGCGGGAAGCAGTGGCCAGCATGTCCCGGTGGCCCGTGCCACTTCCCGCAGCTCCCACTGGCCGGGAACGGCGAACTGCAGCCACTGGGAACTGCGGGGGACTGTGCCTATGGATGGTCAACATAAACAAAATGTCTCGTGGCCCGCCAGGGGATTACCCTGATAGGCCATGTGGCAAAGGTGGCCGACCCCTGGAGTAGAATATTTCTGTACTTTAGAAAGGGTGGCAGAATCAGGCCCTTTATTATTGTACTAAATTTGTCCATGTAGTTCTCTAAGTGCCCTCACAAAAGGGCTGCTTTTAAAATAAAATTGACTCGTTTCCCAAAATCCTGAATCACCCATTTCCCAGGTAACCATGTATTAAAAATGCAGTGAGAATTTTTCTGAGGGGGTTAGTTTACATTGTTTTTATTTTTGTCATGGATAAAATACAATGTACATGTTCTACATTACAAATACACTACTATTCAGAGAATGGAATTTATTGTAACAAAACAGTCAACATTCTAACAAGGAGAGGTAAGGAAAAATATACATACAAACATTTGATTCACCTAATGGCATCATATTATTTTCCAAGGGAATGACCTATTATGGAAAACTGCCCCCCCCCCCAAAAAAATCTGAAACAGTTAGGGTTTCTAAAAACTGATCTCTTACCTAACATTCAAACCTCTCATGATTCACTACAGTTGTTTTGAATCTGACCAGATATAAGATCAAAGAGTGAGACAACATGTCTGGCGTACAATTTCTTTCTTAGCAAGAAATACGTCATTCTGTTTTTTAAAACTGGCTGATTTCCAGATCTTGCCCACTGAAGGGAAACATTGTTAACGCAGCAACATCAAAGGCTGCGAGGCAAGTAGAAGTAGGCAATGCTACTACTAAGGAAGCTTTTGGAATAAAATGCTTCTAAGCCAGAATATTTTTCCTGGTAAATGCACTGAGGTAGTTTACAGTGTATATACACATTATAAAGACATTAGCAATATGAAAAGGAGTGGGATTGTTCCAATATGTTTCTAATAACTACTTCTTACATGCCTATAGCTAGTGTGTTGATGTAGAAAATGATCTTTTTGCAGCCCATGGAGCATGTAAACACTTAAGGCATCTCTGGAGGTTGTTGAATAGGTTCTACTCCTAAACATGTTCAGGCCCTTAATAATATTTCACTGCACAATTCTGTTACCTAACAAACCAACATGTAACAACTTTGAATGAAACTGCTGCTAACGGAAGCAGAAATCCAAAAACCTAAGCCAACCTTTTCAAACTGGTAGGCCTAATGTCAAGACCACATGTTTGAACATTTTGGCTGTAATATTTATTTTCCTGTTAGCCAATTTGGCCAATGTAAAACTTGTAACATAAGTAACAACACCAACTTTCAATAAATATGACTTAGGTAATTAGTTCCTTTCTCCTTCATGTCAATAGGAATTTTAATTTTTAATTCAATGACAGCAAGATTTTGGCCCTATATTACCAGTCTGTATACTGTTCGTAGAGTCTATTCCAACTACTTATACTTATGTGCTATGCAAGGATTAAAGTGACAGTTTTAATTTAAAAAGTAATCATTCCAGTATCAAAGGATGAATTTACTTAAATCAAATTTGGCTTTCCTCTGTCCCTATGCAAAGAGGGGAAGTGGCTAAGGTATTCCAAGCAGCCTTCCTTCATGTGTAATGTATAGCAGTATTTATTTTAGCAAGATTTCCAGTGGAATCTACATTTGAGAGTCCAAAACGTACAGAGTAAGTTACAGTCTGAATGCTTGGGGACAAGGTGGAGAAGTTAAATGTGTTTGAATATACTTCAGAAAATGTTATCTTGGGTTCTACATTTTAAATTATTTATCAGATGTGCAGGATTTCTGTGAAATCATAGAAACCCTTTCAATGGTAATAAATATAATATTACTTTGAATGGGAAGAGCAGTATATAAGTACAAAGGATTTTGCACATAAAATCCCTAGGAGCTGTTTATCCTTTTATAAGATATGTTTACAACTCCTGTTCCGCTCACAGGGGCTGCATGCACATATCTGAGAGCAGAATTTGACCTTAACTAATTCTTATGCTACCCCCTGAGAAGAGTATTATTAGCCCTATTTTATAGTTAAGACCATGGGGGCAGAGGGATTAAGTAACTTGACCACAGAAGGAACCAGTGTAAGAATCCGTACTAGAACATTTGAGCTATTAGTGTTGTTGCAAACCACTGGCCTACATCTCTCATATACACGTGAATAAAGAGTTGTGAAAACAAGAAATATATTGTTTTTATTACAGCTGTGCTAGAACTAGCCTAGCTAGAATTGGGTAGAGATTCATATTATGCCCTGGAGCTGAAGGAAAGCAATTTTGCAAAATTTAGGTGAGGGTACCCAATGTTGTTGTTAAATTTTATCCTACCTGTAGCTTGAAGACAGGAAACCAAATTCTGCCCCCTATATGCTCAACTCAAACAGTGAAATATTCCATATGCCATAGGTTGGCTTCACTTACTAAGTACCACCAATAAGGTGGCATGGGTGTAGTGGAGGGCAAGATATAGAGTAATCTGAAACCTAGAGTAAGGTTTCAAAATATATAACAATAGTAATTACACAGATGTAGCAAACCATCACAAGCTACACGCTCTTTCATCAAGATAAAGTACTTCACATTTACTTGTGGGCCATAGTTCGTAACAGTTATCCATTGCTACCTCATGAATGAAGGATTATTTCTCTCCATATTCCTGTGGCCAATTCACAAAGAAGAAAAAACACTGACGTGGTGGTCATACCACAGATGAATTTATCATACAGTAAATATGCCAATGGCAGAAATATCCCTTGTTAAATTTGAAGGATCTAGAACTTCCTGTTTTTGCAGCTTGAGAAATAAATTCTTGATTGCTAGAGCATCACCACATCTCTTCTTAGCAAATGTGCAAGCATATGTCTATGCATGCAGTAGGGTACAGCCTGATCATGCCTAGCCAGCTGGAGAGCTGTGAGCACTGCTACTGACTGGCTAAGAATTGGGCATATTCTAGTAAATAAATTTGTTATACTGGCTCCCCAACCCCATCCAGCCTGTTTGTTTGTCTTGACCTATTAAATCTCATCTTTTAAACTGTACGCAATTTGCAGCAGGGTCTGCTATTTATTACTTGTTTGTACAGTGCCTAGCACAGTGGGGGGCCAACCTGCCTGTGGACTTTAGGCACTACCAAAATAGCAATGTTAAATAATAATAAATTCTACTTGTCATCTGGAACCGCCTTCCACAGGGAGCAGTGTGGGGCAAAAGACACATCTGGCTTCAAGACTAAGCTTGATAAGTTTATGGAGGGGATGGTATGATGGGATAGCCTAATTTTGGCAATTAATTGATCTTTTATTATTAGCAGTAAATATGCCCAATGGCCTGTGATAGGATGTTAGATGGGGTGGGATCTGAGTTACTACAGAGAATTCTTTCCTGGGTGTCGGGCTGGTGAGTCTTACCCACATGCTCAGGGTTTAGCTGATCGCCATATTTGGGGTCAGGAAGGAATTTTCCTCTAGGGCAGATTGGCAGAGGCCCTGGGGGATTTTTTGCCTTCCTCTGCAGCGTGGGGCAGGGGTCTCTTGCTGGAGGATTCTCTGAACCTTGAAGTCTTTAAACCATGATTTGAGGATTTCAATAGCTCAGATATAGGTTAGGAGTTTATTACAGGAGTGGGTGGGTGAGATTCTGCAGCCTGCGTTGTGCAGGAGGTCAGACTAGACGATCATGATGGTCCCTTCTGACCTTAAAGTCTATTACTCTAACTCTTCTTCTTCTCCATCTCTATGAAGAGGAAAAACCTAAAACGCCTGCCTCAGTACACAATTGTCAGACATGATCTTTCTTCTGAACACTGCTGACAAGACTAAAAACTACCTTACACATTAAACTAAAATAGACCAAGGAAAAACAATTAGTCTAAAAATTAGAAAATACTAGGTTTTGGAGAAAGGGTAATGTCTGTAAATGGCCCCTTTAAGACATTCAGCACACATATTAAGATAATTATGCAGAAAACATTTTAAACCCATGACTAGTCAGTGAAAACTAGTCAGGGGAAGACTAGTGTCTATCTCAGAGCCCCATCACTTTTACATGTGTGTATACAGGAGGGAAGGAGGACGTATTGTTTAATTTGCGAGGCAGTGGTGCTACAAATAGATTGGTTCGTGGTCAACACTGGAGAAAGATGTATCAGAAGGCTGATAGTAGTAACATATACAGTACAACATACATAAACAGTATGTTTGTCTCTACACAGTAGTTCGTTCTCCTCCGTATCAGCTACTAATGAGGAGTGAGTCAGTGGCACAAATATTGTAACAATGTACATTTTACGTTATAAACTGGTTTGCTTTTGAGAGAAGAGTTCGAGTTTATCACATAAACACATTTTGGCACTGCTGTCAGTCCAGCTTCCATAGTCCATGTTTAATAGATGTGTTTCCCTTCTTGCATACCATGGTGATTCCTTTGCATTACCTTGCAGTTGGTAGCATTCACTACATTCTTGGATGTCATCGTGTTATCTGTTTATAAAAATGTGTTTTCTCAGCATCAAGTCAAGAAGTGAAAAAAAATACTCTATTCCACAGGTTGTGTCTAAGTACCTCTGTTCCTTCCTCCTTCACGTCTATTGAACAACTGGCACAAATATAATCCATGTGAGTGTCACCATTGTATAATGTTCCATAAATTGGAGTAACAGCTCTCATGACCTATTCGGTATATGGAAAGGCTCAATGGTAAAGTACGTTGGGAGGAATATATATAAAATAACAAATGCTTTGGTTTCATCTGTGGCCAGGTCTTCTTGAGCTGGAAGGCATCATTGCCATCTTTTTGGCTTTTTTCCAAATCACTGAGGTGTGATATCTTTGTAAGCTTCAACTTGATTTTGGTTTTATCACCCATTCTGCTTGAGGATTTGCACGGTAAACATCTAACATATATGCATCTGGGTCCAAACAATGCAGTCCTGAAACAAAAATGAAGAGTAATTGTTCATACGTTGTTCTCGGTATGCTGATAAATCCAACAGACCTAGATTTTCAGAAGTGTGCTTGAGCAAGTTTCCAAACTGCACAGAAGCAAGTCAGGTTTTGTGTGTGCACATTCCAACTTGAATGTGCACGTAACAGGTGGCTTGGAGGGCTGGGTGGCCTAGGGGCTAGAGCACGTAGCTCTCAGCCCTATTGCTTGGTTGAAGAGACACAGTCTTTAAGGCCAGGGGAGTAGGGGAACCCAGGTCCACCCTCTCCACCAGGTCCCAGCCCATGGTCCTGTGTACATCAACTCCTGAATGGAGGGTGGGGGGGGAAGGCTCCCAGCAGGGAGTCAAAATCCACTGTCCTGGGTTACTTGCTATCAATCTGTTCAGTTTGGGGCGTGGCCCCTCTACTCCAGTTTACTGGGCAGCTTCCTTTCTGTAGGTCCTCTTTTGGGTGGTGCCTTGCCACAGTCCCAGGCTTCCCTGGGTGAGGCATCTGCATGTTGGTGAGAGCAAGCCCCACAATGTCTCTGGGGATCACTCGCTCAGTTACCTCAGGTGCTGGAGGCTCCTAGGTCTCCTTTGCAGTCTTCCTTGGCTGGGGAGACAGTGCTTACTCTCCGCTGGCTGCCTTGGCTGGCAGGCCAGTGTTCTTTCCCCTCAGACTGGGAGGCAGCTAGCTTCTGCCTCTTCCTCAGTCAGCCCTGAACTAAGCTACACTCTTCTTTTCTCCCTCTCCAGGCCTGGTACTGGCTGCAGGTCTAATGGGGCGGGTCTAGCTGGGACCAAAGGCTCTCTTTAATCTTTGCTGTGCTGGCGGTCAGTGTCTCTGCTTTATCATAATGCAGAAAAGCATGTTTCTGCAAATCTGCTCTACATTGTTTCTAATTAATGATCAAGCTACTGACACTTGCTGGGGCTCCTGGAAAATTCCTTGTACTCCATTTAGTTATACATTCAAGGCACCAGCATTGTGGCTTCACTATAAACAGTGACCATATTGTTGTCATGAACATAATTGTAGGTGTCCTTACTCTGCATGAATCTCTCAGCTTAGGATTGTAACCAATAACCTTCCTTCTTATCTCTATATGTATATATTGTTTCTTACTGGCATTGGTGCAGATATACTCCCATCTGGGCACAAACTGCCTAAGCAAAGATTTAAAACATAGTCCAAAATAATCTTTAGTAAGAAGGGAGAAAGGTGAACTTGGCAGGAACACAGACATTGACTAGGGGTCCTGCGGCAATGTC